GTCTGCGAGAACAAAAGTGATGTAATGTGCAATCTTAACACTGACAAAACAACTAGAGGATCCACTTTAGAATATTCATTTTCACGCAAACCATTGCTCATTTCGCGTTAAGCACAAGATGGGAACTTTGACGATATTCCCGAAACCGGTCACCAAAGTGCTGGTCAGGAGCTCGATAACGAGGCCGACGTCCGCGTCGACGTCGAGCTTTCCAAGGCGGCTCGTCGGGCGACCAGGGATAAGCTGACCGAAGACCAGCGAGTCGAAGATTTCCCGACCACGTGGTCAGTCCTGAGGTCGCCCATGTTTCTCCTGATGACCTTGTGGACGATCGCGGTTCAAGGGGAGATCTTCTTCGTGATCGGCATCATGAACCCGTGGTTGACGTTTCTAGCCGATGGCGATACTGAAACAGGTCGGTGACGTAGGCCTATTATATTTGTAAATTGTTCTTTGACTGTACGACGCTTGCTTTTGCGACAATTATTGTTCCACGCCTATTTCCTACTCTAACCGAATTCATACATTCAACCCTAGACCCGACACCTTGCCAACCCTAACCCTAACCCTAAACCTGACATCAAACACAATTGCAACCCCAACTTTATACCTTTGACCGAATAAAGCCTGGAGCAATTGTCGCAGAAGCTATAAATGTCCTGTAACCATTTCTTAGACTGAAGTGAAATGGGAAACAATGCTAATAAATACCCACGGGAGTCTTCATGATTGAAATCAATAAACAGTCTTGTATTTTGCACGTTGAGGGTTTTATATTCACTGTGCGTTATTCCCCGTTTTTCAGCTATTTGCATGTACTCGGTTTTCCGAAGTTGTGTAATAATGATTATAACCGGTTTAATGATAATATTATTGATAATAATGACAATATTGTTAACTCAGGGAAGCCTCATCAGCTTCAAAACTAAATCAATTCAAATCAAATCTGTTTTTCCTGATGAGGGCACTGGGAGTGTCTGACTGGTAAGATGGGTTGCTTGCCACGTGCCCCGACCCCCTCAGTATACATGTACATAATGACGCCTTCCCTGCCGGTGTTGAATCTGCCTGTTTAGTTAGTATGAATCGCTCACTCTAAACATTCAGAGATCCTATTTTTATCTAATCATAAGATTCAATATTTTTTCGAGAGAGTAATGAATAAGTTAAAATATGCTGTTCTTTCTCTCTTTTTTCTTGTTTCTACATAGTAAGTTTTTATACCAACATCTTAGCTATAGCAACTATAGGAAGTCTGTTCGGGTCGCCTATTATGGGTTATGTCTTCGACCGACGAAAGCAGCGTTCTGAAAAGTCTCCGAAGAAAGGTAAAATTGTTGACAAACTAGTTGATGAAATTTATATATTTCAGGGGTGACCCGACATATTTTTTCTCAAAGATATATAACATTGGGTTAGACATATGGATTCATGTTGTGGAATCGATCAGAAAAGGATGATCATAAAAGTATTGGTGTGTACTGCAAGGTTCTGGAATCATTAAAATGATAGGAAATTTGGCCGAGTCATGGTAGCTTTGCAAGCACTGTAAAATTTATATGGGACTACACGAACATGTGACATAAAAATATATTCCCGAGTTTTATGATGGTTCATGCTATATTTATAATATTAAGATATTTAAAGAGCCATGCTTTTCAGGGAACATTTTTTTTTATTTGATGTTCTTCCACCCTTGCATAATACAACGAAAACGTTCACAAATTATTGTTCACCTCTTCCCAGAACTCAACCTTCTCTTTAAGTGTTTTTTCCATAATAATTAACTTCTCAAACATGTCAAACTGTGTTTATCTCTTCTTTTTAAAATGCAGATAACACAAAAGGACCATATGCGGACTTGCGAGATAGCTGGCTACCAGTGGCCCTGGCTTCGGGTACAGCCATAGTTATGTCTTTGTTACTGATGATCCCTAACCTCCCCGCACAGTTCGGTACCTTCGTAGCACTGACTGCTGTCAGAGCTATGTTTTATTCTGCATCTGCAGCCATAGTACCAATAAGGTAAGTTTATAGGTAGTAGATGCTACCGTAGGTTTCAACTTGTTATCGATCTTTGATAGAAATTATGAGAGATGTAACAAGGCCTAGTGAGAGAGAGGGGGGAGGGGCTGGTGGACGCGTCCTCCCCTCCCCGGCCCATCGAACGGCAAAAATGAACAAAAAGACAGGGGGTCGAAGGAGAGAGATAGAGGGAAAAGCAAGAGAGAGAGAGAGAGAGAGAGAGAAGAAAGAAAGAAAGAAAGAGAGAAGGAAGAAATAAAGAAATTGAGAAGGGCAAAGGGGCGATTTCGAAAGTTAGAACCCCCCCCCCCAACGTCCTATCCTATAACCAGATGCCTTGACAATTTCTGTTTATTCTCATTTTATCAATAATTAAAGAACGATTGGACTTTTGTGCTCCTTAAGTTTTTTGTGTAAGCATCATTAAATCTATATGTCTACTTATTTGAAAATCTATGAATTCGACCTTGGACTTCAACATCACTTTTAACATTGTACATTTTCTTTTATTCATTTATGTTTCTGAATAGTTTTCCCATGCAATTTTATCCGACTGTGTTTGGAGTTGCAAACTTTATAGCTGGTCTAGTTTCCCTCACACAGTATCCTCTCTTCATCGTCATCCAGGAATCATTAGGCGGTGATCCCCGATGGGTAAGATGGAATATATCTATAATATTTATTATTTTATTTAGTTATTTCATTTCCAGGCAGAGTTAAACAAAAAATAAAATACAGAGACAAGGGAAGTAATAAATACCACCGACTAGTGCCCGAGGATAGTCAAAGAGAGATTGTTTCCTGCTGAAAGGGAAGCTCACCCTGATATTAAGTTTTTTTTAATAGAAGCAGAAACATGAGAGTAACAGGTCAGTGAAAGTTTGAGCAAAAACTGATTAAAAATAAGAAAGTTTTGAACTTTTGAAGATACGATCAATCAAACACAAATTGTCAACTCTGTGACGTATCTTATTGTTTTGCAACCGACGTATCCGCTTGCACCATTCGTAATAAGGGAGTTTACAGAAACAATCTGCGCATGGGCAGATAAAGGTCATTTGTACCAAAAAGTTAAAACCCACAGAGATGAATACTGGATATGCGCTCATGAAAGTTATGTAACATTATTCATTTATGCACCAACGGTACATTCTATGATACGCAGGTGGAAGTATTCTTTTCAAGAGGACAAACAAAAGGTATTCATGAAGCACATCTAGGACTTTGGCAGTTATTATTCTAATATGCTCAAAGTGGAACTTCTCTATGTGTAAAAGATCTGTGGATATTTGGGGTCATTTGTACCATGTGCTATCTGTAAACTCCCGTATTACTTTTGATGTAAATTCTAAGATCCCTATATAAAGCACATCTTTTCACTTAACTGTCCGTTGTCCATAAAGTAAGTAAAGCACATCAGAGGATCTTGCAGTGCGGTAGAATATTATTTGCACAATCAATGCGCTCTATAGATTTGATATCATCTGTCATTTTGTTATTAAATTATTACTTTCCTTCCAGGTGATCTTTGGGATGATGATTCTCAACGTGGTCGGTCTGGTGTATCCTATCTACATCTATGTCTACGGGAATAACCGCGAGAAGCGATACATGGAAACGAGAAGACCAGAAGAAAACCCGACTACAAACGGCACTGCTGTTTAACCCTTGCCCCGTTTTATTCGACTAAGACCCCGGTTGCACCAACGAGACCGACACCACACTGACAACTTACTAAAGATTTTATGGTATAGTGGTTCATTTACTTGACCCTCAATCCAAGGGTTTAGGGTTCGACTCCCATCAAGGAACGAACATCCTTTACTTGTAGAGATAATCCCGATGGCAGCTATCATACAGCTAAACTGGCAAGGTTAAAGATAAACTTTAGTACTGGTAATGCGATTGCATTGTGAAAGAAAAGGTGTGGAAGGATCAGAAACAGTTGATCATGTAGCATGTAAGTATTGGTGTGCACTGCAAGTTTCTGGAGTCACCAAAATCATAATAAATTTGACCGAGTCTTGGTAAAGTAACAAGCACTCACATAGAAAGCTATATATGGGACAACACACATGGTGTCGGGGCTAGTACTACCTTGATTTCCTTGTCTTTCTATGCTCATTACTCAGCCAGTATACATTTTCTTCCAAAATTGTTCGGCACATGTCATTTATTTGTAATCTTGAACATTCAGTGTAAGTTTCGTTTGATTCTGTGAGAATTATTTTTATTTTTTTACCAGTACTGGAGTTTATCTTTAACTTGATCGCCCTGGTATATCCGTTATGTCTCTCCTTGCGTTCAGGCTACCGAAATTCATCGTATGGCTATACGATGAGTGATTACGATTCTGTAGTCTGAATGTCGGTTAACGAAACTGGCTCCTTTCTGCTTACAACAGCTTCTCAAGGAGTATCATCCAATATTGGTTCCTTAAATTGTGTAATTATGTGAAAGAGGATGTCATTTTATAAAAGATACTACTTGTTAGATCCGCTACTGGTTAAATTGTAAACTGCTGCTAAAGTGTGATCTGCTGCTGAAGTGTAAACTGCTGCTAAGATTAGTGTATTCTGCTGCTAAAGTGTAAACTGCTACTAAAAGTTGTAACCTCCTGTTAAAATGTAGCCTGCTGCTGAAGTGTTAGCCGCTTCTAAAGTGTAACCCGCTGCTAAAGTGTACGAAAACTCGATAAAGAATCAGCTTCCCGTTGTTGTCTGAACGTCGTATCGTACGAAAATCGTAAAACTTGGCGGGGCTTATCGTGACCACGCGCTCATCATCAACTGACCTCTTAAAAACCAGTTTCTTTATACGCATGTTGTTATCTAGCCTGTAAGCTCCTTTCGCTATATATACGATGATTCTGTCTTTACACGATTTTCGTATAAGTTTCATCTAGTTTGAACAAACTATAATTATGTCTATGTTTTTCGTATCCGGACACCTACACCTTGGACATCCACCCCCGGATAACTACCCCCAGTCAACTACCCCTAGGGCAACTACCCCCTAGGGCAATCACCCTCTAGGACGACTACCCCCAGGACAACTACCCCTAGGACAACTACCACCCGGACAACTACCCTAGGACAAGTACCCCAGGACAACTACCCTCCGGACAAGTACCCCCCAGACAACTATCCCCTACGACAACCATCCTCTAGGACAACTACCCCCCGGACAACTACCCCCGGACAACTACCCTAGGTAGTTGTCCTGGTCCTGGAGATACTTGTCCTAGGGGGTAGTTGTCCGGGGGTAGTTGTCCGAGGGTAGTTGTCTGGGGGTAGTTGTCCGGGGGTAGTAGTTCCGTGGGTAGTCGTCCTAGGGGTAGTTGACTGGGGTGGTTTTCTGGGGGGTGGATGTCCAGGAGGTAGGTGTCCTAGAACCTATGTTTTTATTCGACTAATGCCCGTTGTACTTGCTGCGCCATTTGCCCGACACAGGACTGCGTCACTGACTGGCGGTGTCTGCATTTATTTTTAAGTTATTTCATTAAAGCTACATAAGAGGAGATGAAAAGTTTGTAGAGATGTGACGTTAAGCAATAATACTAAACAGGGAAAAGGGGAAAAGGAAATGGGAAAGAAAAAATAGAACAGGTATCAATAGGCTGAAAATGAAAGAGGAAGCAGACCCCTAGAAAGAGAATGATAAGATTGAAAGAGAAGATTATGACATTAATGGTTAAACAAAATGGAGAAATGTGAAGGAATGGAAAGAGGAATGTGGAAACTAAACTGATAAGAAGAGCCTGTGGTTATTGTTTAGCAAAGGGCTTACAACAGTGCCGATTATCACATAATGCCGTATTATTAAATATTTCTTTAAAGGCAAAGACCATGCAGTGTTGTTTATCAAAGTTGACTGTAGTAAACAAATTGATTCTTCTTCTTAATGTGTACATCATTGATATTTCAAATGCCATTTATTGAATAACCTTTTTTTTTGTGATGAGCTCGAAAGTTAGCCGTTTTAAATATAGATATTAATATTCATTTATAGTGCTTTGAAGAGGTTGATTAACTTTGTGTTAAAAAGAGAATGTAGACGCAACGCTGCTAAATCATTTTCTATTTATTTACATACTATGTTGATGTTAATGCTACTCAATAATGTTCGAGAAATTAAGTACATTTCACTTGATTTAAGTGCGTGATCAAATCACAAACAAAAAGGATTTTCGTAAGATTCATTCTAGGACCAAAGGTTGTTTTTGATAGATGAACTAAGTAGACTATGCCATAACATCGTGCATATATACCGTACAGGCTATCTGTTACGTGCAGAAATAAAATATGATTTTTGTTTTGTTTTGTTCATAGAATCATCAGATGGTATAAACTTTTTTTAGGAGAATTTGAATAATATAGTCATTCAAACTTTTCAGATTTAATATTCGTATTTTCAAATGTAAGCAATAGTTCCCTTATTCCGACCTGATCCAATTGAAATATACGTGGGAAAATGTGCATGACATCGTTACCTTTTCTAAATAGCTTTACCAAATCAATTCACTATATTTTCTAAGAATAAAATAATGAATTTTATTAGGCCTAATTTGAATTTACTCCTATTTTTGACATTTATGACTTAAATGATCTGAAAGAACGAAGAAAGAGGGAGAGGTGAGTAGAGATAGAAATTGAGGTAACAAATAACGAGAATGTGGAGGGAGAGAGAGAGAGAGAGAGAGAGTGATGTAGAGCAAGAGAGAGCAAGGGAGAGGGTGAGGGGAATGTATACAGGGGAGACGGAGTAGAATGTGAGATGTATAACTAAGATCGGAGGGGTAAATCAATAAAAACAGAGTAAATATAAATAAAAACAAATATAAATCGCTTTCGTTAAACTAAATTTATAGGGAAAATCCATTATGAAAACAAATTATGCCCGGAACGTAATAGCTTGGAATTACAATGGACGGATGGAATTCATTGACTACATAGTATGAAAAACTGAACTTGTCTTATATTCAAGTCGAATTCAAAATAATAAAACAAAAACATTACCCACATTTTATAATCAAAGAACAGGAAAAGGCACACACTTAATGAAATAACTACAGACTGATGTCAAGTTCGATCGAATTATTATTTAAGTAATCATTTGAATATAATATTTCAAAAAAATATTTAATCATAAATATGTTATAATAGAAAACGAAAATTATTGAAATCTCTAGGTTACTTTGGTTAATTATCGATTTGTTTGACAAAAAATTACATTAACATTAAAGAATTAAGGTCCACGGCAGAACCGTACACATTGGACGGGCTCCGGTATGCTCTGGAACCTGCACCGTGCTATGCATCCCATTACCTCCCGAAACATCGGCATAGTTCCCGCATAAATGATGGGGTTGATACACGTGTTGAAGACGAACAGAAGGATTGCCCAAGGAACAGCTGGGTGACTGGTAGGCACCATCACGCAGATCTCGTATGGGAGGAAACAGATGAAGAAAGAAAGCACCACCAAGGAAAGACGTTTGGTGACGTTGATATGGTGGCGCGAAATCTTTGGCGCGCTTTTCGGGCCCTTGGCGCAAGGAGTGAATGTCTTGGGAGCCTCCCTTCTGGGATTGGATGATGTCGACGAGTTTTCAAGATTCTCCTGGCTAACGCGATGGTCGTTTATTGATACTCTATTCTCAGCTTGAGAATTCACATTAGACAGCTCTATTTCACCCAGGACAAGCACTCCACGTTCAAAGACTTTATTAGGCCTAGTTGTCTCTGGAACATGCGAAATGTTATGTTGACTCTCATCACCCTCGTCATTCGATGGTGCAAGGTTGACCGGACCTGTCAAGGTAGGTGCATCCTCCAAGTTTCGGCTGTTTGGAAGTGTAGGTCGCATACCAACTCCAGAAGTTGCTCTCGAGCCATCCGTGATTACACTCCTCTGCCGATCCCGGGATTCTGTCCTGCTCGTGCTCATATCAAGACTGGTTCGGTCAAAACTAAAAGTCTCGGCTTCCCTCGACTCGGCCAATCTTTTCCCCAAAGCTTTGTTATGACTCGAAACGGTTCGGTAGATGAGCACGTACATGATAACGATGATGATAGATGCCGGGACGATGACGCCTACCGCTGCTATGAGGCTGTAGTAGTTCGAGTTGGACAAGGAGGTATCCTGGTGACACGTCTTGTAGTTTTCTGAATATCCCAACTTCCCGAGTCCTGCCATCGGTGGGACTATGACAAGCAATAATGGGTACATCCATGATAATATCACCATGGCAACAATGTTGCGCCTGGAGTAGATACTGTAGAATGTGTATCGAGGCCTGGTGAGGAGGACCCACCTATTGTGAGCGATCAGAGCAAGGCTGATGATGCTGGTTCCCAGGCAGGTCAGCGTGACGCCTCCGGTCATTACGCAGATCCATTCGGCGATGGGCCATCCATTCTTACTCAGCATCGCCACCACGTTGAAGGGAAGGAAGAGACAGGTGACGAGGTCGGCCATACCGAGGTTGACCACCAGCCAGTTGGTGGAAGATCTCAACTTTTGGCAGAGGAGCACGGCGAGCACGACGTGGCTATTCCCAATGATGCCGACGACGGTGACGAGACAGAGAATGGAGGCGATGACGATTCGCTGGGGGTAGCTTTCAAACACGAAGTCATCATTGGTGCTGCTAGTGGTGACGGATGAAAAGTCGTCCATATTTTCAAGTTTAATATTCAGTACTA